TTGCCCAGACTTTGCAGGAAAAAATAAAAGGGTGTGTAGTCCCCCGTGTGTCATATTGTATCAGGAGCAGCCTGATGTGTAGGCAGTCTCCTCAGTGGGGTCTTCTAAGTAATGGTGTCCATTTCCTCATCATGACCTACCAACCTGACTTGCAAGTGTAGTAGCTTTGGGATAAAGAAATAGACAAATTACCAAGATGGGTCATGGTGTTTATGAAGACCTGATTGTTTTGAGCCAATTGATGGGTGGTGGGGCCAGGAGGGTGACAGAAAAGTCTACTTGAGAAGGTACCAATGGGCTCATTTGGTAGAGGCACCTATTAAGCCATACCCTGAGGTTCCATGTTCAATATGACACAGATCTTTTAAATCACTTTCCCCAGACACCAGGCAGGGGCCAGGCTTATGGAGTAATTGTGAATCACCAAGGTAACTCTTAACTTCTGCCAAGCTGTATCCTTTTTATTGGCCTCTGTTCCTTGCTTTTTAAAAGGAAGAGGGCTTGGCTAGAGGCCTATCAAATGTTTTGTTGCCCAGAGCTGTTATAAATGGAAAAGCAAACACATACTTCTCCTTATACACTTGTCTCTTGTATCCAGTAAAAAGATAAATGCTTATAATTGTGTGTGTGTGTGTGTGTGTGTGTGTGTGTGTGTGTGTATGTGTGTGTGTGTCTGTGAAAAACAGTGGAGCATTTTAAAGGCAGGACAATGGACCCAAAAGCAGAAGTTGGTGGGGCTTCAGAATTCATTTCTGCCTCTGCAAAGAAAAGAACTCTGAGTGTGCCTTTTTTAGTGGTCCAATCTATCCTTCAGCTCAGGCTGTCATTCTGCAAATAGGGTTATTTGAAGAGTTCTGGAAGGACCCATAGGCAGACAGATCTACCCTACCTCACCCACCACCTGGCCTGATATTTTATTTGTCTTCTGGGTTTAATCTTATCATTTTCAAATATCTAAACAGCCATGCAGAGGATTGCCAGTTTATCTTTGGTTGATGAGCTCGTTGAAGAGCCCTGGTTGAGGGTTGTTGAGAGACCCCCAATTCCACTCCTAGCTTGTGGAATTTGTTGAGTGACTCTGGGCACATCTCCGTATCTCTCACTTGAGTCTCATCATTTGCATGAAACAGTGAAATTTCATATGCAGCAATATCTTTCATTTCATTCTGTGGGAACATATGAGATTGTAGGTCAGCTGGAGTAGGAAGAGCTCCTGACCCTTTGGAAAAATGTTTTCCTCCAACTTGAGTCAAACATCTGGTTGGCCAGCCTCCCTTTTCTGTTCTGGGTTTGAGGGCTGTACTGTGTCGCAGCTGGTCTCAGTCCGTGGTGTGTGGGCTGACCTTGCCTCAGGCTGACTCATGAGAGGACTGTGAGTCAGGGGAGAGACAGTGGCAGTCTAAAATATCAACAGAAGAGGGGCTTTGAGGCAGTGACTTGCTTGGGAGGGACACTAGAGTCTTGGCTTGGTGCTTTATTCACATAGTAAACAACCACATTGGTGAAGTATTGTTGGAGATTAAAGAGATTAAAGTTTCTTTTCACCCACTCATTAGCACATCTTAGGTCCTACATGAGGGAAAGGTGTGTCCTAGCTCTGGCTTCCCTCCTGACAGTTGGAAATAGTGGCTACCCTCATCTCTCATTAGGCATTTGCAGCTCCTAAATATCTACTGGTTTGTAAAAGTCAACTGTAATGGTTAATCTTGAGTGTTACCTTGATTGGCTCAAGAGATGTCTAGGAGATTAGTAAAGCAAACCTCTGGATATGTCTGGGTGGGTCATGGGGATGTGACCTTCACAACTGTATCTAGCCTCTTACTCCTCCTCTTTGGCTCTTTGCCTCTGCTTTTTGGTTGCCATGAGGCTAGCAGGTCTCCATTGCCATGCCCTTCTGTCATGATGTTCTTGCCTTAGAGCCAGCTGACCATGGACTAAAACGATTGAAACTGTGAGCCGAAATAAACTTGTTTTGTGATGTATGTCAGGTATTTTTTCCCAGCAACGAAAGTCTACTACAGCATCCTTGTGCCTCAAAAGGCTTAGTGTGTGGGGTTCATTATCTTCCCAGGTAATGGGGCTGGCCTCCTATTCTTACTTAGCCCCCATAATACCAGCCTCATATATGATTTTTTCAGCATCAACAGTCACAATAGTGTTGAGTGCTGTTATATGTCAAGCACTGGAAACACAGTAGGGGACAAGGTTCCTGGGGCTCTCCTTTGTGGAACTTTCCAGTTTTTTTTTTCT